CTCTATTTTCTTTCAGTGTTCTATTTATCTATCTTCACACCAATTCCACACTGTCTTGGTTACTGTCACTTTATAATAAGTCTTAAAATCAGATATCATTCGTTCTCCAACTTCATCCATTTTTGTAATTGTTTTGGATATTCTGGGATATTTTCATTTCCATATAAGTTTTAAAATAAGTTTGTCAATTTCTATGAAAAAAGCCTATCGGGATTTTTTGTTATTAGGGGCTGTGTTAAATCTCTAGATCAATTTGGGGGACGACTGACTTCATAAAAAATATTGAGTCTTCTGATATGTGAACATGGTATATATCTCCAATTATTTAGATCTTCTTTATTTTCTCAAAGTTTTGTAGCTTTCAGTATATAGATCCTACACATATTTTGTCAGATTTACCCTTAAGTAATTAATATTTTTCATGCCATTGTAAATAGTATTTTTAAAATTTCAATTTGTGATTGTTTATTGCTAGTATATAGAAAACAATTGGTTTTGTATATTCTATCTTGTACCCAGAAACCTTGCTAAACTCACCTAATCATTCTAGTAGCTTTTTGATAGCTTCCATCAGATTTTCTACATAAATGATCATGTTCTCTGTGAATAAAGACAGTTTAATTCTTCTTTCCCAGTATGGATGTCTTTTATTTATTTTTCTTATTATACTGGCTAAAGCCTCCAGTACAATGTTGAATAGAAGTGGAGAGGGCAAACATCCTTGTCTTCTTCCTGACCTTTGGACAAAAGAATCCAGTCTTTCACTGTAAAGGATAATATTAGCTCTACCTTTGTTGTAGTTGCTCTTTATTAGATTAAGGAAGTTCCTTTCTCTTCCTAGTTTGCAGAGTCTTTTTATCAATAGTGGATGGATGTGGGATTTTGTCAAATGCTTTTTATACCTTGACTGAGATGCTAATACGGTTTTTCATTTTTTGTTTGTTAATATGGTAAATTATATTGATTGTTTTTTTTAAATATTAAATCTATCTTGTCTTCCTGGGATAAACCATGGTTGGTCAGGTTGTATTATCCTATTATCCTTTTTATCTATAAAACTTGTTGCTGTTGAGTTGATTCCAACTCATAGCAACCCTATAGGAGAGAGTAGAATTTCCCCATAGCAGCCAAGCTCTTAACCACTTTGTATAGTTGGATTGAATTTCCTAAAAATTTTTTTTTTAGAATTTTGGTTCTACTTCAAGAGGGATTGTGATTTTTCATTTTCCTTGCTTGTGATGCCTTTGTCTAACTTTGGTATCAGAGTAATGCTGGCCATGTAGAATGAAGGGCAAGTATTCCCTCCTTTTCAATTTTCTGTAAAAGTGTGTGTAGAATTGGGATTATTTGTTTCATAAATGTTTGCTAGAACTCAACAGTAAGCTATCTGGATCTGAGGGGTCATTTCCATGGAAAGATTTCTAACTTCAAATTCTATACTGTAAGACTAGTCAGGATATATCTTTCTTATTGAGTTAACTTTGGTTTGTTTTTTCCGTAGAATTTGTATATTTCATCTAAGTTATCAAAGTTATTGGCATAAAGATGTTCATAATATTCTTTTTTATCTTTTTAATATCTGTAGAATTTATAATGATGTCACTTCTCTCATTTTTTATTTCAATAATTTATGTCTTCTCTATTTTCTCCTGATTAGATTGGCCAGAGGGTTATTAATTTTATTGCTCTTCACAAAGAAACAGCTTTCAGTTTTATTGATTTTTTTCTAATGTCTTTGTCTCTATTTCATTGATTTTAACTCTTAACTTTATTAGTTTCCTTCTTTTGCTTACTTTGGGTCTTATTTGCTCCTCTTTTTCTAATTTCTTAAAGTGAAATTAATTTGAGACTTTTCTAATATAAACGTTTAGTGCTATAAATTTCCCATAACTACTGCTTTAGCAGCATTCTGCAAATTTTCATATGTTGTGTTTTCATTTTCATTCAGTTCAAAATATTCTAATTTTGCTTTTCATTTCTTCTTTGACCCATTAGTTATTTTGAAATGTGTTATTTAATTTCGAAATATTTGGGTATTTTCCAGAGATATTTTGTTACCAATTTCTAATTTAATTCCTTTATATTCAGAGAGCATACTTTGTATGACTTGAATACTTTTAATTTTATTAAGACTTGTTTTAGGGTTTCGATTATGACCTATCTTATTAAATGTTTTGTGTGCTGCTAAAAAGAATGAGTATTCTGCTGTTTTACGACGGTATTTTATAACTAACAGTTAGGTAAAGTTGGTTGATATTATTGTTGTTGTTAGCTGCCATTGCGTCAGCCTCAGCTTGTGTTGATCCTATGCAAAACAGTATAAAATGCTGTTTTGCGCCATCACCATGATTGGTTGTAGGTCAGACTGTTGTGATCTGTAGAGTTTTCATTGGCTGATTTTCAGAAGTAGATTGCCAAGCCTTTCTTCGTAGTCCATCTTAGTCTGGAAGCTCTGTTGAAACCTGTTCAGCATCATAGCAACATGCAAGCCTCCACTAACAGACAGGTAGTGGCCAAGCTTGAGGTGCATTGGCTGGGAATGAAACCTGGGTCTCCCGCATGGTGTTGTTTAAATATTCTCTATCCTTAATGACTTTTTGTTTACCAGTTCTATCAATTATTGAAAGAAGGATATTGAAATCCTCAACAATGATTGTGGACTTGTATATTTCTCCTTGAAGTTCTATTAGTTTTTGTTTTATGTATTTTGAAGCTCCGTTATTGGGTACATTAACATTTAGGTTTGTTATTTCCTCTTGATGAATGATCCATTTGTCATTATGAAATGATTTTCTTTATCCCTGGCAATATTCTTTACTCTGAAATCTATTTTGTCTGCTATTAATATAGCCATTTCAGGTTTCCTTGAGTAGTTAACATTCATCAAGCATGGTACATCCTTTTTCCTTCTTTTAACCTATTTGTGTGCGTATACTTAAAATGTATATTTTTTAGGGAGTTGGTTCATGTATTTTTTGTCCATCCTTAACACCTCTGTCTTTTAATTGTTGTGTTTATACCTTTAACATTTAGTGTGGTTATTGATATCATTAGGTTTAAATCTATCATCTTGCCTCTTATGCATGTGAAAGCTGGGCAATGAATAAGGAAGACCAAAGAAGAGTTGACGCCTTTGAATTATGGTGTTGATGAAGAATATTGAATATACTATGGACTGCTAAAAGAATGTACAAATTTGTCTCAGAAGAAGTACAGCCAAAATGCTCCTCAGAAGCAAGGATGGTGAGACTCCGTCTCACATGCTTTGGACATGTTATCAGGAGAGATCAGTCCCTGGAGAAGGACATCATGTTTGGTAAAGTAGAGGGTCAGTGAAAAAGAGGAAGACCTTCACCAGATGGATTGACACAGTGGTTGCAGCAATGGGCTCAAGCATAACAAGAAGATGGCGCAGGACTGGACAGTGTTTCGTTCTGTTGTACATAAGGTCACTCTGACTCGGAACATTTATTTTCTATTTGTTCTATCTGTCCTTTTTTCCTGCCTTCTTTTGGATTAGGAGCCCTGGTGGCACAGTGGTTAAAATGCTCATCTGTTAACCAAAAGGTCGACAGTGCAAAGCCACCAGCTGCTCTGTGGGAGAAAGATGTTGTAGTCTACTTCTGTAAAGACTTACAGCCTCAGAACGCTGTAACACAATTCTACTCTGTCCTATAGGGGCACTATGAGTCAGAATCAACTCGATAGTAGTGGGTTTGGTTTTTGTTTTTGGTCTTTTGGATTACTTGAATACTTTTTTATTCCAGTTTACCCGTCCCCCTCTTCCCCCCAACACACCTTTTTTTTTTCTTTTAATTTAGGGCTTATAATTGGCATTTTTAATTTATTTTAGTCTACCTTTATTCTACCTTCAAGTGATATTATACTACTTCATGTATATTATAAGAGCCATAAATAGTACACTTTCATTTCTCTCTTCCCAATCTTTGTGCTATTGTGGTTATACATTTTTACTTTTATAAGTGTTAAAAACTCCATCTTGCATTGTTATTAATTTTTTTAAATAGTCAATTACTTTTAAAATAAATCAAAAGCAAGAAAAATATTGTATATGTATACATATATATGTGTGTGTATATATATATATATATCCATGACATTACCATTTCCAGTCTCTTTAGACTCATATTTGCCTTTGATATCAATTTCTTTCTATCTGAAGGACTTCCTTTATTATAGTTTGTAGTTTGGGTTTGCAGGTGATAATGTTTTTCAGCCTGAATATGTCTGGGAAATTTTTATTTCATTTTTTTTCACCTTCACATTTGAGATATATTTTTTGCTGGGTATAGAACTCTAGGTTGACTTTTTTTTTCTTTCAGTACTTTAAAGATGTCACTCCGTTGTCCTCACACTTGCATTGTTTCAATGAGAAATCTATCTTTGTTCTTCTGCATGTAACATATATTTTTCTCCATCTACTTTTAAGATTTTCTTTTCATCACTTGCTTTGAGTGATTTGATTATGAACTGTCTTAGTGTATTTTTTTGTTTGTTTATAGTAGTTTATAGGGGATGTAAGACAGTGGTATCTTACTATCCATTCTGTTTTGTGGTTTTCTCCAACATATTTTATTTGTAGGATCAGACTTTAGTTTAAAGTGACTAGGCCAATTCACACTTTAAGCTTATTTCTGAATTCATTCTGGAATTGTATCTTTACTGTGGTTACTTAAGCTGCACTCCGCTGTTAACTGAAAGGTTGGCAGTCTGAACACATCCAGTAGCTCTGCAGGAGAAAGACTTGGCAATCTGCTCCCGTAAAGATTATAGCCAAGCAAACCCTGTGGGGGCAGTTCTACCCTGTCACATGGGGTCACCATGAGTCGGAATTGACTCAATGGCATCCCACAACAACTCAAGCTGCTTCATATCTGTTAGATATAACAGCAAAACTATAAAGCAGTGTTTAGAATTCTGACCAGAAAGCTTACATAAGATTGTTGATCACAGGGATTTTTTAAAAATTTATTTAATAGGATACAGTGATTTATGAGAGACTCTCAGAAGAATCTTTGTTTGTGGAGGAGACATTAACTCATCTGGAATATTTTGCCTCAGAAGGTAAGTGAAAATCTAGTTCCCTTTGGAAGTGCTGTTCTTAAATGTTGATATCATAGCCCTGAATGCATTGCTGGCCACACAGGCAGGCAAGGGGAGCGACTTTGTATGTGTGGCTTTGTAATGCCCTCTGTTCTCCAAACTCTGCTGAGACATAAATATTACAAGTAATTACCCCAATCCACAGTTTCGCTTTTCGAGGTTTCAGTTACCTGGGTCAACGGCAGTCTGAAAATATTAAATGAGTAGTGTGATGAAATCTCATGCCTTCCCACTCCATCCTGCCCAGGGACCACATTCACATAAATTTTATTACAGTATATTGTTACAATTGTTCTATTTTATTATCAGTTATTGTTGTTAATCTCTTACTGTGCCTAATTTATAAATTAAACTTTATCATAGGTATGTATGTATAGGACAAAATATAGTATACATATAGGGTTTGGTACTATTTGTGGTTTCAGGCATGCATCGGGGGTCTTAGAACATACACCCTGTGGATAAGGGGGTACGACTATATTTTCCCTTTCTCATTTTAACAATGTTTTATGCTTATAAGCAAACAGTGAAAAGAAAAAAAAAACCTTTTTTCCCCGGGTGGCCCTTCCTTTATTCCTGTGGCAGAGTCTTCAATCCATTACTATCTATTTCTCTTTGCTGTGTGTGATAGTTTAGCTACTTGTGCTAGGAACTTGGCCCATGGTTGGAGGAAAAGGCAGGTTTTTCAGTATGTGTTGAGTTTGTTTAAGCTAATTATTTTGTACATGTAACTCAGAAAACAGGCATAGTTGATGTTTTCCTGTCATTCTCTTGTTATCCCCCCTGATGTTGACTTACCATCCATCATTTAAAAAAATACAATTCCATGAATGAGTGACAAACAAGAAAAGTGTTCACTAGAATATTTACTGGGGCTTTGAGGAGCAAGGTGTCCTGCTAGTAATATAATACAAGCTGTATCTCACTTTCTCCCCATTGTTTGTAAGCTACTGCTTACATAAACATTTGTGTGTTTGGCCCGGAAGTGTGAAAAGTTTGCAAGGTTGAGCTTTGGGCCTTTTTTCTGCAATTTTAAAATATACACGTGCTGTTGGCAAGCTGCAATTGGTAGAGACATATAGAAACTATGTTATAATTGAGCCCTAAACAAAATTACAACTGCTATAGAGGCACCTCAGAAGAAAGACCTGGTGATCTACTTCTGAAAAATCGGCTATTGAAAACCGTATGGAGCACAGCTATATGCTGACACACATGGGGTTGCTATGTGTAGAAGTTGACTCAATGGCAACTGGTTTATATCTCTTCTGTGGAGAATTAATTTCTAGGGAATCCTAAAGTGTTTGACTGTTTTGGAGGAGTTAGCCTCAAATATTAAGAGTAGTTAGCCTCAAATATTAAGAGTACAGCCTAGTTTTTTATTATTATTTTTTTGTGAACACGTACCTTCAAAATGGGACTAAAATACATTTTCTGAACATATAGAGATTATTTGACTAATAATTGAAAATATTTAACCCTCATTCATTCTTTCAACAACTAGTTATTTGACATCTATTAAGTTATTTGACATCTATTAAGTGCTATGGAGAAGCCCTGGCGGCACAGTGGTTAAGCACTCAGCTGCTAACCAAAAGGTCGGTGGTTTGAACCCACCAGTAGCTCCAAGGTAGAAAGATGTGGCGGTGTGCTTCTGTAAAGCTTACAGCCTAGGAAACCCTATGTGGCAGTTCTACCCTGTCCTATATGGTCTCTATAAGTCAGAATCAAATCCACAGCAATGGATTTTTGGATTAGAAAGTGTTAAAGGAGCCTGGTTGCTAACCAAAGGTGGGCAGTTCCAACCCACCAGCCTCTCCGCAGGAGAAAGACCTGACAATCTGCTCCATAAAGATTACAGCCTAGGAAGCCTATGGGAGCAGTTCTACTCTGTCCTATAGGGTCAGTATGAGCCGTAATCCACTCGACAGAAATGGGTATTAAGTGCCATAATACACTGTTCTCAGCTTCTGGGACATCAGTGAACAAAACACAGAAGACTCATGCTGTCATGAAATTTACTAGTAAATATAATGCCAGGGGTGACAAGTGCTGTGAAGAAAAATGAAGCAGGAGAAGGGGAATAGAGAGTGATGAAGGTGCTCTTTATCTAGGGTGATACGGTGGCTCTGAGGCAGAGACTGAAGAAGGTGAAGGGGAGAGCAATATGGCTATCTAGAAAGTATTCGAGGTAAAAGGTAGAGCGGTCTAAGAGTTTGGGAGCAAGAGGCCAGCAAGGATGTCACAGTCAGTAAGGGAGAGAGGGGCAGAAGAAACATCAACAAAGTAGCCAGGGGCGGATCAAAGAGGGCCTTGAAGGACTTCACATTCACATAACCTCTAAAATGCTTTTGCATTTTCAAATGCCTCTCTTGTCCCTGATCACTGGCAGCATGACCAGGAGATACCACATTCTTTCTTGCAGGTCTGAGAACTCTCTGTGTGGCTTATACTGATTTAACTGAGAATGACTATGAGGAATGGCTGAAGGAGTATAAAGAAGCTAGTATGGTTTTAGAAGACAGAAGTAAAAGACTAGAAGAATGTTATGATACCATTGAAAAGGTAACATACCCCATATGTACATAAGTGAAGAAAATCCACTCATCAGTGTTTTCATATCTTGATGAGGTTTTCAAACACAATTAAATTTTGTTTTTTGTTTTTTTCCTTCGAAAGCATAAATCTGTCCGATCACACTGAAAATTCATAAACTATGTCCTTACATAATAGTTCAAAGTATTTCCTCCTCTTCTGAGTCATATCCTGATCACTTCAACCTTGTTATTCTTTTTATAATAACTTTTCCCATAGCAAAAGAACAACATGTTCATTATAAAAAAAAAGCAAGCTAGAATAGTAAATGATAATTACCTGTAATGTTGTGCTAATGCCTGAGTTCTAGTGCATAAGCTTCCAGTCTCTTTCTTTATATGTGTATTGTGTATGTGGTATTCCACTGTGTGTTTACTTAACTCTCTCTCTCTTTCTCTCACACATACGCACACACATATATACACATAAAACACAACATTTTCCCATACAAATTAGTTCATGCTTGTATACTGTCTGACACATGAATTTTTCCCTTAATAAATTGGGAACATTTTTCCATTTCATTGAATATTCGTATATGTTAGCTTCTTTGAATACTCCTGGGTGTTCCATTGTATGGTTGAGTAATTTGTCATTGTACTTGCTATCCTGTGGTGGTTATTTTTCCTGTGGGAATCTCATGCACCCTGGGTGCTATGGAGGGTAACTGTGAATTTGCTTCAGCTGGGGCCTCTGCAGTTTCACAGATCCCAGGACAATTTTTATGTTCGTTTCTTGACTTGGGGTTCTTTTGTCATTTGGTTGCATGAACTCTGCATCTCATTTCTGCAGGCCCTTGATTGACCAGAACAAATTTAGGCCGGGGTGGTTTCTTGGGGATATTGCCCCAGATCCTTTTCAAAACCGTAAATTAGAAGGTTTGGAATCTAACCTAGCTTCATGTCAAATGCATGAACGTTCAGCAGTCTCCTTCATGGGCGATTTATTCAGCATCTGTTGACAAATCACAGTGAAGCGAGTTTAACTTGTTTATGTAATCCACCTCTTCCTTGTGTTTCCATTCTGGAACCTCCATTGGTCCTTTCCCAGCTGTAACACTGGCCACTGAAAAGAAATCTGGGCAATTGAAAAGTGGCTTCTGGGGCTTGAAAGACTATACAAGTATTACTATGGTGATTATTTTTCAGTTAAATGGCTATATTATATTAAGAAATACAGAAATGGTCATTCCTATCCTTACCCAGCAAGAAAGAAATGAAAAGTCTTTTAAGAGTGATTTCCTAAAGAAAAATGCTCAAGAAGCAAAGAAGGTCTGTGGCCTCAAGAACTAGGAAGGGAGTCAGGAAATATCTCTCTATAACTGAAAAAAAAAAAAAAAACCACAACAATATGCAAATTGTTTACTTAATTTCATTTCAGATTGTATAGAAATAGAATTAATTTTTGTGTATTGATATTGTATTCTGCAACCTTGCTGAACTTGTTTTTTTAGTTCTAATTGTTTTTAGTAGATTCTCTAAGATTTTTTATGTACAAAATCATGTCATCTGTGAACAGAGATACATAGAGGCCTGGTATTTTCTTCATGGGTAGATTTTTTTTAATCACCAATTCAATCTCTTGATTTTTTTATAGTTATATTCAGATTTTTCTATTTGTTTTGAGTCAGTTTTGGTAGTTTGTGTCTTTCTAGAAATTTTACACTTCTTTTTGATGACCTAATTTGTTGGCATACAATTATTCATAATATTCCCTTATAATCCCTTTAATTTCTGTAAGGTAAATAGTAATGTGCCTTCTTTCATTCTTGATTTTAGTAATTTGAATTTCTCTCTCTTTTTTTCTTTTGGTCAGACCAACTAAAGTTTTGTCATTTTTTTTTTAAATATTTTCAAAGGACACACTTTTAGTTTTGTTGATTGTTCTCTATTGTTTTTCTATTCTTGATTTCATTAATTTCTGCTCTCATCTTTACTATTTCCTCCTTCTTCTTGCTTTAGCTTTAATATATTCTTCATTTTACAGTGTCTTAAAGTGTAAGGTTAGGCTATTGATGTGAGATTTTTCTCTTATTCTAATATAGGTACAGCTGTAAATTTCTCTCAAAGAACTGATTTAGCTGCATCTCATAAGTTTAAGTATATTGTGTCTTTATTTTCATTTATATCTGAGTATTTTCTATTTTTCTTAGCAATTTATTTTTTAACCCATTGGTTGTTTAGGAATGTTTTCTGTTAATTCCACATATTTGTGAATTTTCCATTTTTTTTTTCTGTTATTAAGTTCTAATCTCATTTCATGATGGTCAGAGAACTTGTTTTATATGATTTCCATACTTTTATATTTATTGAGATTAGTTTTATGGTCTAGCATGTGATCTACCCTGGTCAATGTTTTATGTGAAGTTGAGAAGAATGTGTACTCTGCTGTTGTTGGGTGAAGTGTTCTATAGCTGTCTGTCAGATCTAGTTGGTTTATAGTGTTATTCAAGTTTTCTATTTCCTTGTTGATGTGTTTAGTTGTTCTGTCCATTATAGAAAGTGCATATTGTATTCTCCAACTATTATTGTTGAATTGTTCCTTTCTTTCTTTGGTTGTCAGTTTTTGCGTAATATATTTTGAGGCTCTGTTGTTAGGTGCACATATGTTTATAACTTATGTTTTCTTTACAGATTGTCCCTTTTATCATTATAAAGTGTCCCTCTATGTCTTTTTTGGTTTTGTTTTAAAGTCTATTTTGTCTGATATTAGTATAGTCTGCCTATTTGTTGTGTGCATGATCTATCTTTTTTCATCCTTGTACTTTCAATCTGTTTGTATCTCTGAATTTAAAGTGTGTCTCCTGTAGAAAGCATATAGTTTGATCTTTTTTGTTTATTTTTATTTTAATTTTCCTCCAGTCTGACAATCTCTGCCTCTTGATTGGATTAACACATGCACATTTAATGTTATTGTTTATATAGTTGAATTTATGTCTGCCATTCTACTTTTTTGTTTTCTATATGTCTCATGTCTTTTTTGCTTCTCTTTCCCCTTTACTGCCTTCTTTTGCATTAAGGGAATATTTTCTAGTGTAAAATTTTAATTCCTGTAGTGATTTTTTTTCCTATAATTTTTTAATAGCTACTTTATTAGTGATTGCTTTGTTGTTGTTGTTAGGTGCCGTCAAGTCAATTTCAACTCATGGCAACCCCATGTGATAGAGTAAACTGCCTCATATGGTTTTCTAGGCTGTAATCATTATGGGAGCAGATCATCAGGTCTTTCTCCCACTAGGTGGGTTCTAACCACCAATGTTTCAGTTAGCAGCTGAGTGCTTAACTGTTGCATCAGCAGTGCTCCTCACTGATTGATCTAGGGCTCACTATATACAACCTAATTTATCAGAATCTACTTCAGCTCTATACTGGCTTAAAGCTGGTGAGATATAGAAACCTTACTCGCATATAGCTTTATTCCCTCTTCCTCTTTTTTGTGCTCTTGTTATATATATTACATCTATGTGTTTTACAAACCTAACAATACAGTCATAATTATTAATTTTATAATTTTATGTGTTTTAAAGAAGGTGAGAGAAGAAAGAGCAAGTATATATTTATTGAGCCTATTATGTAACCTTTTTATTTACCATTTCTGGTTCTCTTCTTTTGTTGATTTGAGTTACTATTTGGTATTATTTCTTTACTACTATACAGCTTTATTCTCACCACATTCTTTGGGTAATCATTGTCAAATATGTTTCTATATGTTACACATCCCTAGATGGTGCAAAAGGTTTGCCCTCAACTACTAACCTAAAGGTTAGCAGTTTGAACCCACCCAGTGGTGCTATGGAAGAAAGGCCTGGCAATTTGCTCTGTAAAGATTACAATCAAGAAAACCCTGTGAATCAGTTCTACTCTGTAACACATGGGGTCACTATGAGTCAGAATTGACTCCATGGCAACTAGCTTTCTCATTTCAAGACCTGTGTTTGTTTCAATGATACCAGTTAGCTCTTTATTCTTAATTTCAGGTACTCATTAGCAATATATTGACAGCAGCATGAATAACATTTTTTAAGTTTTAAATGAGGACTGAAAAGTTCACAGTTAACAAAGACCTTAAAGTAGTCAGTGTAATATCCCAAATAACTGACTGACCTGTGCTAAAAGAAGTAAAGGAATAAAACTTCTAAGGAATAAAAACAGGTTTGGTTTGGTTTGGTTTTTGGCTATATGTTACAGGCCCAATAATACAGTTATATATATTATGTATTGTTTTGTTCAAGTGTATTTTAAATCAGTTAGGAGAAGAAATATGTTGGAATTGACTTGATGACAATGGGGTTTTGTTTTTTTATGTCTTGTATAATTACATAATTACCTTTACTGGTGTTCTTTGTTTCTGGTATGGATTTGAATTACCACCTGGGGCCATTTGCTATCAGCCTGAAGAACTTCCTTTAGTATTTCTGGTATGGTGGGTCTGCTAGCAAAAAATTCTTTCAGTTTTTGTTTATTTTGGAATGCTTCTATTTTGCTTATTTTTTGAAAGTGTGAAATCTCTTTCCCTCAGGTTTTTCTAGGTATAAGGATTTTGGATGATAGTTTTGTTCTTTCAGAAGTGAAATATGTCATCCCGTTGCCTTCTGGCCTCCATTGTTTCTGATGAAAAGTCAGAACTTTTTCTTATTGGGGTTCCCTTATAAGTGACAATTATTTTTCTCTTTTCAAGATTTTGTCCTTTTTCTCTTTGTCCTTCCACATTTTATTATGATGTGTCTGGGCATGGCTCTTTGTGTTGATCCTAGCTGGAGTTTGTTGAGCTCCTTGGACGTGTAGATTATTGTTTGTAAGCAAATTTAGGAAGATCAGCTATTTTTTTTTTAATATATTTTTCTGCTTCTTTATCTGTCTCCTCTCTTTTTTATATTCCTATTACATGTATGTTGGCGTAATTAATGGTATCCCACATTTCTCTGAGTCTCTCCTCATTTTTTTTGTCACTGTTTTTTCTCTCTTCATTATGTCTCTGCATAAATTCTATCAATCTATCTTTAAGGTTGCTGATCCTTTGCCAGTTAAAATCTACTGTTGGGCACCTCTACTGAGTTTTTTTTTAATCTCAATTGTTGGACTTTTCCACTCCAGTATTTCCATTTGCCTCTTTTTAAAAATGATTTCTTTCTCTTTATCTTTATCTCAACATATCTTCCTTTACTTCTTTTAGCACATGTCCTTCAGTATCCGAGATATTTCGATGGCTGTTTTGAGGTCTTTGTTAAATGTGACATCTGGTCCTTCTCACAGGTTTTTTTGCCTGCTTTTTTTCTGTTAATTGGTCATACTTTCCTGTTTCTTGGCATGTCTCATAATTTTTTGTTGTTGTTGTTGAAAACTGGACATTTCAGATTATTACATATTGTAGCAAATCTGGCTACTTAACCCCTCCCCATCTGAGGTTTGTTGTTTGCTTGTTTATTTATTTAGTGACTTAGATGGACTATTTTAGTGAAATCCCTCTCCCTCATAGTATGAAGCCTTTATGCCAGTACTCAGAGAGTTCACCCTTAGTCATACACACAGTCACACTGGATGACAAATGGCAGGGGTTTCTTTGACTGTCTCTTTCTCTGACCTCTTTATTAAGTTGTCTGCTTCTACTGGTATAACACCCAGCTGTTAGACTCAATTAGTGAATTGCTGACTGTTTTTGATAGTTCCCTCAGATAAAAATTGCCCTACTCTCTGATCCAATTAAATTTGGGCCTCTTTGTAAGGGTGGATTTTGAGGCCAGTTTTTAGGTTTGTTCTGACCCCAGGGGGGCTCTGCTTAGCTGTCTCTTTCTCTAGTTCTTTCTGGGAAATAAGCTGGCCTGTTTTAGTTTGTTCTCTCGTGGAGCTGCCAGCTCCCCTTAGTTGCTTACCAAAAAACAAAAACAAACTCCATTGCTTTCAATAGCATCCTTTGGCTTGAACTTCCTTCCCCACACTCTGTTTCAAATAAAGTCAGTTCCCTTGGAGACAGCTTTGGAACTCTCTGTTTATCTGGCCTAATTCTACCTCTGAGAAAAATTTCTGAGCCAATGCTTTGGAGCTTGGAGTTGGATACAGTGGCCTGTTTATCTTGGAGTGGCATCTTGCTTTATGCACAGGGCTTCTGTCAGTGTGGAACCTCCACCCTATGAGTAAACTGGGGTGAGGGCAGTCAGAACCCTGGTATTCTCAGCCTACTATGATTGAGGTAGCGCCTCGTTTCTATAGGTGAGGACTCCCCAGCCACTTCACTGAATTCCCGTGGAATTCTACCTCTGTAACATGGAACTTATATGAATAAGAAATGCTGATGGCCTGTCCCTCCCAAGGAGTATCCCTTGACTGGGAGCGGGGGAAGAGGAAGCCCCGTCTTCTTGGCTGCACCTGCCTAGATTGGAGCTTCTGTTAAGCTGATCTGGAAGTGAGGAAAGAAGGCAGTGTATTGTGGCTCAAGTTCCATAGACTGTTGCTGTTCTTACCAAGATTTAGTAGATTTTCTTGAATATTTCTTCATGCTGTATGCCTTTAGGAAAATTTCCCATGACTTTAAATGTTATTATATCTTAAAAATAGTTTTCAACAGTTGTGGGTATTTTGCTGGGGAATGTGTCCATAGAACTCCTCATGCACCATCCTGGAAGTAAGTCTCTTAAATAATTTTTTTTCCCCTTGTAGCCCAGTTTTTATTCCTGCTTTCTCTTTTTCTCACCCAAAATATCTTCTATGGTATCCACAATGTATTATTAATTTAAACGAAAAGCAAATTACCAAACAGAATTTATGTTACTATCCCATTTTTTTGTGGACTAAAAATAATGTGAGTGTATATCATATATATATTTAACAGCTTTATAGAGATATAATTAACCTACAACATAATTTACTTATTTAAAGTGTATAACTAAATAGTTTTTAGTGTATTCACAGAGTTGTACAACCATCACAGCAGTCAATTTTAGAACATTTTCTTATCTGAAAATGAAGTCTTGTACCCTTTAGCTGTCAGCTTCCCCATCCTTCCATCCACCCTGGCCGTAAGCAGCTACTAATTTCCTTTTTGTTTCTGTAAATGTCTTCTGGACATTTGATATAAATAGGATCGTAATATGTGGTCTTTTGTGACTGGATTTTTTCATTTAGTATAATGTTTTCAAGGTTTATCCATGTTGTAGCATGTATCAGTATTTCATTCCTTTTTATAGTTGAGTAATATTCCATTGTGCCACGTTTTATTTATCCATTCATAAGTTGATAAGCATTTGAATTGTTTCTACCTTTTGACTATTATGGACAATGTTGCTATAAACTTCTGTATACACATTTTTGTATGAACATGGCTTTCATTTATCTTGGGTATATACCTAGCAGTGTTTTACTGGGTTATAAATATGGATAACCATTTTAGGAACTGCCAGACTGCTCTTCAAAGTGGCTGCACTATTTTACATTACCTCCAGCGGTATATGTGGATTGTGATTTCTCAATATTCTTGCCAACACTTGTTGTTACCTGATTTTTTGATTCTTGACAACCTAGTGGGTGGAAGTGGTATCTCTTTGTGGTTTTGATTTGCATTTTCTTGATGACTAGCTATGTCAGGCATCTTTTCATGTGTTTGCTGGTTATTTGTATATGTTTTTTTGAAAACTCTCTATGCAGATCCTTTGCTCATTTAAAAATTGGATAATGTGTGTTTATATTACCAAGTTGTAAGAGTTCTTTATATGTTCTAGGTACAAGTTCTTTATCAGATATAAGATTTGCAAATACTTTCACTCATTCCATTGCTGTCTTTTTCTTGGTAGTGTCTTTTGAGGCAAAAAGTTTCTAATATTGATGAAGATTGTGTCATCTATGAATAGAGATGGTTTTACTTCTTTCTAATTCTAGTTGGAATCTGGATGCCTTTGTATTTCTTTCTCTTATGTAACATCCCTGGTTAGAACCTCCACTACAATGCTGAATGGAAGTTGCAAGAGTGGGCATCCTTATCTTGTTCCTGCTCTTAGGGGGAAATCATCAATTCTTTCTTCATCAAGTCTGTCTTTGTCATCTAGTGCTGCTCCAACAGAAATACCACAAGTGGATGGCTTTACAAAGAGAAATTTATTCTCTCACAGTCCAATAGGCTACAAGTCCAAATTCAGGGCATCAGCTCCAGGAGAATGCTTTCTCCATTGGCTCTGGAGGAAAGTCCATGTCATCAGTCTTCCTTTGGTCTGGGAGCTTCTCTGAGCAGGAACCTCAGGTCCAAAGGATGCGCTCTGCTCCCGGCACTGCTTTCTTGGTGGTATGAGGTTCCCATGTGTCTCTGCTCACTTCTCTCTTTTATATCTCAAAAGAGATTGCATTAAGACACTGATCTTGTCAACCTCATCACAGTGATAGAATTTACAACACATGAGGAGATCACATATAATCTTATCATAGTGGTAGAGTTTACAACACATAAGGACATCACATCAGATAACACAATCATACAATACTAGGAATCATGACTTAGCCAAGTTGCTACACACATTTTTGGGGGACACAATTCAATCCATGACAATATTTCATGATAAAAATTAATTGTTGGGAAAAATAGGGCTTCTGTCCTGAAGTGGCACATGTAAGGCACCTCTACTGCTCTACACGCAGAATCAACATCAAGATATTTCAGAAGTGTAATTTTTGTTTCCAGGGCAGCTGGTTTCATTGGTCTCCCCTCAAGAAAAAATAATTGATATATATACACTACATAGAAAAACTCAGTATTATAAAAAAGTGGCAATTCTCCTTAAGTAATCTGTAATTCAATGCAAAGTAGAAATGCATCAGATTTCCAGCAGGATTTTCACAGAACTTGACAAGTTTGTCCTAATGTTCATATAAAAGTAGGAGAAGGCTAAGAATTATCAAGATAATTTTGAAGAAGAATAAAAAAGGGGTCTTACTTAACCAGACATCAAGACTTTAATAATAAGGTCATAATAATTAAAGTAATAGGTAATATTTGTTGATGATAATATAAATTTATGATTTATAACATTCTAATCATTTAAATATGTTAACTCTCACAGCAATCTTATGAGTAATCTTATTTTCCCCACTTTAGAGATGAGAATATTAAGGAATTTGAAGTAATTTATTTACATCCACCAATATAATAAATTGTAGAGTTAGGGCATTAATCTCAGAGCCTGTGCTCTTAATGCTAATCCTATACTATAAATGGATACACCAGTGGAAAAGAACAGAAAATAAAGTGTGTGTGTGTGTGTGTGTGTGTGTGTGTGTGTGTGTGCTTGTGTGTACATATATATGGGACTTTGCAGAATAAATAATTAGGCTGCATATATTTTGTCAAAATTTGCTCTTATTATTCAAATTTGAAAATATTCTAACTTTAATTAGTATTAAAAATACCTCTTTCAAAAAACATCTAGGAATTTATGCTGCTTGGAGCCACAGCCATTGAGGATCGCCTTCAAGCACGTGTTCCAGAAACCATAGCAACTTTACTGAAAGCAAACATAAGAATATGGGTCTTGACAGGAGATAAACAAGAAACTGCAATTAACACAGGTAATACATAAAAAGAATTTTTAAAAATCTGGCTATACATGTATACTAAATATATCCTGGTATCAAGAATGTATGGCTGCGCATTCTTAAAGTAATTGTTTTACATGTCTTTGGAAAAATGGAGTGCAGAGGAACCTTCCCATGACAAGACAAAAAATTTGAACATATTAGGCAAAGCAGACTAGAACATATTAGGCAAAGCAGACTATCCTGTCGCCTTCACATTCTTGAAATATAGAATGCAGAATGGTAACATGAGTAATATGTAGCTTCTTGTTCCTTCTTTGAAAACTTGAAGTTACAGTATTTTGTCCAGTTGTATATATACAGTCATGTGTATACATAACGTCCATTTGGGCAACATCCAACTGCACATATGTCCGTGGTTGCATAAGATTATAATAGAGTTCAGAAATCTCGATCGGAGGATGTATTAAATAATTATGAAGAAAGGAGGAAGTATGACATAGTAGCCTAGGATAGTGGGAGGGTTAATGGACTAGTGGACAGCTGCTGAAATAAACACATACACTTGCACACATCACCACACACACCATCTTCCTGGTGTAAACATTAACTCTCAGAAACAAACACTAAACCTATAAGGAAGAAGAAAAACACTTTCCTAACTTGCTCAACATTTGCATAGATCTCCTTCTAAATCAAATTACTGCTTCACATTATTTTGCCCCGCAGTGTTAGTTCCTTTCATTTATCCAATAGCTTTTAAATAATGCCTCTTTGAGCCTTTGGAGTGCTGGTGGTGCAGTGATTAAGAGCTCAGGTTTCTAGCCAAAGGTTGGCAATTCGAATCCACCAGCCAGTCTTTGGAAACCTATGGGCAATTCTACTTAGCACTATAGGGTTGCTATGAGTCAGAATCAACTCAGTGGCAACGAGTTTTTGGTTTAGTTTTGAGCCTTTGGGAGGAAAAGAAAGTGACTTATTGTTGAACCATTTACTTGTTAATTGTTTCCTCAGCTTAACAAAGCTCTATTCCTCTAGCTTTAAAATGACTGCTTATATAAAGACTCAATGAAACGTTTAGGTAAAGGCTCATCTATCTCAGAGTATAGTTTCATTCTTCTAGTTACAGATATAATTTTGTATTTGGACCTACTACAATTTACCAGTTTAATTTTTTAAATGGAAATGACTTGAAATTTTCACAATAAAAGATTATTCTTGAGGCATATAAATTCATTATCCTATTGACTGTTATTATGAGAACTGCATGAGTTTATTTCTTTTAATAATACCTAGGATTTTATTAGTATACTAGGTATACTACTGTTTATATAGCAGTTTTGATACAACAGAATTTGGCTTTCTCAAAGACTTGATATTATTATAAAGCATGAATCTGAGCTCATGTCATAGAAAAATAGTAAAAATAAAAATCACAGATATTTAAAACTATGGATTTAGCCACTAATTATATACACCCTCTCAACCATTACTATTCAGATTGTTTTGCTATAGTCATGAGACAAAGACTATGATGAAATAAATAAACAGCTCCTTTAAAAAGAAATCTTATGGGAGGCTTTGAGTCATCAAATATGACATTGTTATTTCTCTCTCTCTAGCATATTCCTGCAAATTGATATCAAGTCAAATGCCTCGTATTCAGTTGAATGCACATTCATTGGAAGTAAGTGGTTTCTAAAAAATTATATTTAAGATGAGTCTAACTCACTTGTCACTTGTGATTGCCCACCCCTTAAAATCTATGTGAGGTTGCCTTCAACTCCTACTTTAAATCCATTAGAAAATCCAGGTGTTTCCCATGATTCTTCCCCAAGAAAAGCTGTGAGAGTTTGTTACCACCAGACTGGCCCTACAAGAAATGATAAAGGGAGTCCTTCTGATGGAAATGGGATTCTTCCCATTTGATTGTGCAAATCCTACTGGTATTCCATTGTAAGCCTTCTGCCTCTGATGAAGTCTTGAACTACACTTAGTCTTGAGGCTAGTCCTTTATCACCATGCTGGGGTCACACCAAAACCAGGGCCTAGATCTCATCCTTTATTTTAAAGAGAAAGGAAAAGAAATTTCTCTGCACATATAGCAGTCTTTAATGAAAGTTTGAGTAGATAAATGACATTTACATTGTAACAATGAGAAAAATATGAGATAAAATATTGAATATCTTTGCCCTTAAAAATTAAATGGCATCTTCTGGGAAGATAGTGGCATGAACAAGTCAAAGATCCTGATCCTCCCTGTATGAACAACAAGAAAAGCAACTAGAAATCTGTACTCAACCCTGTAAGGACTCTGAAAAAGTGGACAAATGATGGTAGCAAGGAGGTGAAATTCAAAACAATATAAGGACAAATTTTAAATGATAGATCTCTTTTTCCACTATTTTTGTCCCTTCCCCCAGTACATCGGCCAGAAGACTGAAGAGGACCCCCAGTTGCAGCCCCAGGCAACCCATGGTCCCCCTGTTCACTAAGAAGGGCCTTGATATCTGACTATGAAGTAAATAGAACAGACCTCACTGTAAGACTATATAGGGTATATATTCTGACCAGTCTGAGAGTAGCCTAAAGGACTGAAACCTTGGTCTGGCATGAACCAGAGCTCATATGCAGCAGGTGAGGTAGCAAAGAGCAAAGACTGAAGATTGTGCCAGCCTGAGGGAAAACTGATCATTGTGTATTTTTTGATTAGTCTAGGAGCTGCTGAAAGGACTAAAATCTTGGCCTAGCTTGAATCAGAGCTCTCCCAGGGTGAAGGAGGGAGCAGTGAGCAAAGACTAAAAGCTGTGACCTCCTAAGAGTTTCGTTCAGAAATTAGTGCTTTCTTAAGCACTGTGTATGTGGGGGAATTGAGAAAGCTAACACATTGTAATATTCTAATATCCCAGTTTCAACAAAAAATAACAAGGCACACACACACACACACAAGAAAACAAACAAACAAAACAAAAAAAAGTACAAACGGAAATGATGGCCCATTCAGAAGAACAATATGAAGGAAGAAGACAAATTATCTTTATGGAAGTTCAGATAATGAACAAATTAGAGGAATATAACACAACAATATTAAATATGCTCAAGGAACTAAAGGAAAACATAGACAAAGAACTAAAAGAAATCAGGAAAATAATGCATGAACAAATGAAAATGTAAGTAAAGAAATACACACTATAAAAAGAAAGCAAACAGAAATACTGAAACTGAATGATACAATAGCTGCAATGAAAAACTCATTGGAAGGACTTAAGAGCTGATTTGAGCTGTCAGAAGAAAGAATCAGCAAACTAGAGTATACGGTAATAAAAATTATGCAGTCTGAGGAGCAATAAGAGAGAATGCTCAAGACTGCAAGACTGCCTAATGGAAATGTAGGATACTATCAAGCAAACTAAGATACACATCATAGGAATCTCAGAAGGAGATGAGAGAGAATGGGACAGAATGAATATTTGAAGAAATAATGGCTGAAAACTTCCTAAATCTGATGAAAGACATGAATCTGAAAATTTAAGAAGTTCAACAAACTTCAAGTAGGATAAACTCAAAAAGATACACACCGAGACACATTATAATCAAACTCTCAGAAACTAAAGAAAGTCTTGAAAGCAATAAAAAAGAAGCAGATTGTTACATACAAAGTATACCCAACAAGATTAAGTGCCAATTTGTCCTCAGAAACATCAAAGGCCAGAAGGCAGTGGAATTACATTTTTAAAGTGTTGAAAGAAGAGCACTGTCAACCAGAATACCATATCTAGAAAAAATGTCCTGAATGACTGAGGGCAGAAGTAAGACATTCCTGACTTCCGGGCAACATGATGCTATACACAGAAGCACCACACCGTCCCTCCACAGCAAAGACCCAGAAAACTAAGTCAAACAGAGACAAATGTCAATCCTGGAACCCTAAGCATCCAATGAAGAGATAAAGAACTCAGCCAGGCACCGAATGGAATAAGAAACTGACAGAGAACAGAGAGTGAGGAGACATACGTGCAGAGGTCCCCTATCAGCTAACGCAGCACAGATTCACCACCTTGGGCTCCTGTCACAGATTGGCTAACAGGGAATATGGGAAAGCAGCTTCACGGAGCTCCCAGCAGGAGACTGAACAACCAGTAACAAGCAACATATGCTTTCCCACCCCCTTACCCTTCTTTATCCCCCACTTAGCCTCCTCTGCTTCCTGCAGCCACAGTCTCTTGACTGGAAGGCACCGGCTTCAGCACTATGCCACTTGGATTCCACCCGCCCACACTGGCCAACTCCCTGAGTGCCATTTGTCTGTTGCTGGTGTTGCTTTTTTCTGCTTCTTTGGGTTCTTCCATACCTCTCACCACCTCCTCCTCCTTTATCTTGAATACTGGGCTCCATGTGCCATCTTTGCTTCTTCTTGAAAGGCTGTGAAATGCCGCTCGACTGTGGAACTGCTTCCCGGCCCATGCCGCCACACTGGTGGGATCCCTGAGGCTTTTTTGTTTGTTTGTTTTGATTTGTTCCGTTTTGTTTGTTTTCTTTTTCTTTTCTCAGCCTAGAGGCCCCTTCTAGCCAGGCTGTACTGTGCAGCTTGGGAGCTACTTCCCCATTCTGAGCAGCTGCATGGTGGGATCTCTGTTTTTTTGTTCTTTTTTTTTTTTTTTTTTATTTTGTTTTCTTTTCTCTCTTCTTTCTTTTTGTCTTTCTTCATTTCTCAGTTTCTCATCTCTGTATACTTACTTTCTCTTCCTGTCTCCTGAATACTTGGCCACTGTGTGACACCTCTACCCCTTCTAGCCAGACTGTACTGGGAGCCACTTCCCCAATCTTCGCAGCTGCACCAGTGGGATCCCTGGGGGATTTTCTTTTTTTTTAATTTTTTTTTTCTTTTACCCTTTTTTCATTATTTTTATTTTCTCCTTTTGTTTTTCTCCATTTCTTGGTTTCTCATCTCTCCACTCTAATGCCAAGCTCCCTTAGCACTCTTTTTGTTTGTTTGTTTTTGACTCCTGTTTCTCTCTCCTCTTTCCCATACCCATCTTTGCTCCACACATCACAGTCTCTCCCCTTCTTCCGCCTATCTGCACTGTGTGCTGAATATCACACCCTCGAGCAGCACAGGCATGGCCTACCGGAACCTGCTCTGCACTGATTCCCAGCCTGCCCTGTCAGCACGAGTACATACCACAAACAACCCATCCCAGCAACTCCCCTTCAGCTGGACCTGCGCTGCTGCACCATAGCTGAGCGACTGACCCTGCCCATTGGACAAGGAGGTGAAAAGTATCATGCCCATAGATGAGCAAACAACAAAGAATGCACAGCCCACCTGCTTAGACATAACCAAATAAAACAAAAAAGCGGAACAAAACAAACAAATCTACAATCAATAAATGAGGAAAATAACTACTGAATGTCCCAAAGACAGCAGACAATATTGAAACATACTGAAAAACAGGACAGAGTGGTTCCAATAGGTGTCCAAAGTAAAACACCAGATGACTTTCCAGTAGAAGAAAAGGCACTAGAACTACCTGATAGGGAATTCAAATCTCTAATATTCAAGCTATCCAAGAGTTGAAGCAAAAAGCAGACAAAAATGAGGAAAAAATAGACAAATTCATGGAAAAGGCAGACAAATTTATTGAAAACACAGACAAAAAAAAAGAGGAAGAATTCAGGAAAATAATACAGAAGCAAAATGCCAAAATAAATTCACAACTAGAAATCATACAAAAACAACAATTAGAAATCCAAAAGATAAACAAGATTTCAGAAATGGACAGTGTGATAGAAGGGCTGAGGAGCAGGTTTGAAATGATAGAAGGCAGGATCAGCAAAATTGAAGACAAACACTTGGATATACTGTTTGAGGAAAAATCTGAAAAAAGAATGAAGAAAAATGAAGAAACCCTGAGAATTATGTGGGATACAATAAAAAGTAAAAATCTGTGAGTGATCAGAGTTCCAGAACAGGGAGAGAAAACAGAAAACACAGAGAGGATCATTGAAGAACTGCTGACAGTAAACTTCCCCAATATCAAGAAAGATGAAAAGCTGACCATCCAGGAAGCTCAACGAACCCGATATAGGATAGACCCCAAGAGAAAATCAACAAGGCATATCATAATCAAACTTGCTAAAACCAAAGACAAAGAATCCTGAGAGCAGCTCGAGAAAAACAAGAAGTCACATACAAAGAAGAAACAATAAGACTAAGTTTGGATTATTTGGCAGAAACCATGCAGACAAGAAGGCAATGGGAAGACATATATAAAACCTTGAAAGAAAAAAATTGCCAGCCAAGAATAATATATCCTGCAAAACTCTCATTCAAACATGATGGTGAAATTAGGACATTTTCAGATAAACAGAAATTAAGGGACTATGTAAAAACCAAACCAAAAGTACAAGAATTCTCAAAGAGAGTCCTTCGATCTGAGAACAAACAACATCAGACCACAGGCTGAATCTAGGACACAAGATTGTACCAGCAAGATAACCAACCTAGGAAATGAACTCTCAAGGACTATCCAAAACCAAAAGAACTACAGGGAACCAGACAGGTTAATCTGTAAATGATAACAACATCAGGACAATAAAAGAGAGAATAAATGGTGTAGGCATAGAACCTTCAAATGGAAAGGAAGCCTCTGAGTGCGTTTGAGCAACCAGCCTTTTGGCTAGCAGTCGAGCACTTATCCATTTGTACCACCCAGGGACTCCCCATAAGCTTTCTACATATCTTAAATTGAGTAATGAGTCTCTAAAATATACTTCTCTCTTAGAAACCTGGTACTCAGTTATGCAGATTTTCCCTTCATTATTCTGTTCTTCTCTTTTAAATATATTTGTAAAATTCTCTAAAATTTCTGTTCTGATATTAGTACCCTTCCATAATTTCCAATATTGATAATTTATTCTTACTTATACACTTTTAAAAAACAGCTTTACTGAGATATAATTTCTCTACCATGCAACTAACCCGTTTAAAGTGTACAATCCAATGGATTTTAGTACATTCAGAGTTGTGTAACCATCATCACAATCTAATTTTAGAACATTTCCATCATCTCTAAAAGAAAACCTTATATCCTTTAGCCATCACCCCCTCTATCCTGTTCATTGTCCCCCCAGCTCTAAGCAACCACTAATGTCTTCTGTCTCTATAGACTTGCCTAATCTGGGCATTTCATATAAATTGAATCATAAATTCAATCAGTATTTGACCTTTTGTGTCTGGCTTATTTCACTCAGCATAACATCTCCAAAGTCCATTTATGTTGTAGCATCTTTCAGTACTTCATTCATTTCTATGGCTGAATAAATGTTCTGTTGTATGGATATACCACATTTTGTTTATCCATTTGTCAACTGGTGAACATTTGAGTTCTTTTACCTTTTGGATATTATAAATAATGCTGCTCTAAACGTGGGTGGACCAGTTTTTCTGTGGACATATATTATCATTTCTCTTGGGTTCTATACCCAGGAGTGAAATTGCTGGGTCATATGGTAACTCTGTTTAATCATTTTAGGAACTGCCGGACTGTTTTCCAAGAGGCTGCTCTATTTTACATTCCTAACAACAGCATATAAGTGTTCAAATTTTTCCACATCCTCACCAACACTTGTTTTCTGACTTTTTTATTCTAGCCCTCCTTCTGGTTTTGGTTTGCATTTCCCTGATGACTAATAATGTCACACATCTTTTCATGTTACTGATATGCTTTTATAATCTCATTTCAGTGAGGTTTTCAAAGAGAAGAGGGCAAACCATGCCTCAGTCCACCATCTTGATTCAGAAGTTTTTTCACTTATATTAGAAATGAAGAAAAGAAAGAGATTTTTTTCCCCTTCTCTCTTTTAGGCTGCACAAATAGCAATTAATCAAAACTGTGAAGATCTTGGAGCCTTGTTGGGTCAAGAAAATGACCTGGCCCTAATCATTGATGGTGAAACATTGAAGTATGCCTTCCATTTTGAAATTAAGAGGAACTTCTTAAATTTGGCCCTTTCATGTAAAGCAGTATTATGTTGTAGGTAAGAACATATTCATTGTTTTATTTTTCTTGCTATATTTAGTATTGTTTAGGTAATGAAAATACAGACATGGACATAGAACATAACTTTTAGCAGAGGCAAAATTCTTTGTTGGGAAAATATATGATCAAGCAGAAGTGAAAAGACTTGAATTTAACTGTCAAGATTTACTAGAAAGTAGTTTATAATTTTTAATGGTAAATTGTTTGCTAATCTATGACAACATGAAAGAAGTCTTCAGGAGGAACAAAAGCCCCAAGTTTATTTATACCTATTGAAAACCCATTGCCATCAAGTTAATTCTGACTCATAGTGACCCTATAGGACAGAGTAGAACTGATCATAGGATTTCCAAGGAGCAGCTGGTGGATTCAAACTGCTGACCTGTTGGTTAGCAGCTGAGCTCTAAGTTTATTTATAGTGAGGGGCAAATCCAAAAAAACAGCCATTGATAACTAGAGGAGAATGAAATTATGAGTATTGGTGCATGTCAAAAAATTGATTTGTAAAAAGCAGATAATCTACAACAAAGATGGCTGGAATTGAGAAAATAATTAAACTCAATATACAGGAGCTCCTTGCTCTTCAAAATATTAAAATGGACCAATTACTAAAGGTTACTAATGCCTTGGACTTCTCAATATTCTTATGAGCATACTCCTCAGCCCATGAGGTACATAAGACACTTCAAATCTCTTCCTTAGATATCCCTTTGTGTTCACCTTCATTTGTCATCAGTTAAAAAATGCAGCAACTTCTGTTCTTCACTGGACTCTGACCCATCGTGTTTTTAGTATTCTTTAGGACTCTTTGTACTAGTCTTCTATCAGAACTCTTTGAGTTGCAAATGTCAAAGAGCTGAATTCAAATCCAGCTTATGTCCAGCAATTCCACTCCTAGGTATATACCCAAAAGAACTGAAAGCAAGCACTCAGACAGATACTTGTACACCAAGTTTCATAGTAGCATTATTCACGATAGCCAAAAGCTGGAAATGACCCAAGTGTCCATTAACAAACAAAGGGATAAGAGGAAGAAGTGGTTATTAGAAACCGAAAGGAGAGAGTCCTGCAGTAGTGAGCTGCAGTAGAGACACAACTAGAGATGACACTACAGGGAGAAGCTACGAAAACAAGACTTTTAACCTCACTCTCCTCCTTCCTTCCAGAGTCTGCTGGGACTTCTTATTGGCCACACGCAAGCAATATACTAACTGTTAATTATCTTGGGTTGTTGGGTGCTGTTGAGTCTATTCTGACTCACAGTGACCCCATGTGACAGAATAGAACTGCCCCATAGGGTTATCTAGGCTGTAATTTTTACAGAAGCAGATCACCAGGTCTTTCTCCCAGGGAGCCACTGAGTGGGTTCGAACCACCAACCTTTTGGTTAGCAGCTGAGCACTAAGCCACTGCACATTTACCTAGGTTTTGGTAATTCAGTACCTTATATTCTCCAAATACTAACTCTGTAAGTTTAAATGTCCCCATTAAAGGAAGAGTAAAAATAAATGAATACAAAATTGAAATCCATCACCAGGCTATATTCTGAACTGATGAAAATAATTTGGGTGTGCAGTTGGCAGGGACAGAGAGCAGGCTACATCTCTAATTTTATTCATGGCTTTAAATTTTTTATTTAATTTTATTATTTTTCTATACATTCTGCTAACATTTTATCAAAGATTTTTTGTCTATGTCCATGAAAGTATTTGTCTGGTTTTATTTCTTTCAATGTATTTAAAAGGCTTTTAGTATCCGGATCATTTTGGCCTTATAACATGAATTGAAAAGTATTCTTTTATCCTCTATTTTTTTAAAACAGTTTCTGTGGTATTGGCATTATTTCTTCCTGAAATGTTTGATAGAATTCACAGTTGAAGCCGCTTGGGCCTGGTATTTTCTTTGTGGGGAGGTTTTAAATTAATAATTCAATTCCTTTAGCAGATATTTTCTACTTCTTGAGTCAGTTTTGGTAATTTGTGTCTTTTAAGAAATTTATCTATTACCTAGTTCTCAAATCTGTTGGTATAAAATTTTTCATAATATTCCTTTATTATTCTTTCAATTTCAGTGTAATCCATGGTAATGTTCCTTCTTTCTTTCCTCATATTCCTCATCTCTCTCTCTAGTTTCCTCTCTCTCTCTGATTTTTCTCTCTATATTTCTCTTTCTTTCCTTGATCAAACTAGCTAGGGCTTTACTAATTTTGCTGATTTTTCCAAAGGGTGGAGTAACTGCCATTCAAATTCAGCTACATGTAGATTCCATCACCTGTGTCAGTTTGTTGTACTGTGGTGTCTTGCATATTGTTACAGTGTTGGAAGCTATGCCACCAGTATTTCAAATACCAACACAGTTACCCATGGTGAACAGGTTTCAGTGGTGCTTCCAGACTAAGACAGACTAAGAAGAAAGGCTTGGCAGTCTGCTTCTGAAAATTAGACAATGAAAACTCTATAGATCACAAAAAGATATTGTCTGATATAGTGCTGGAAGATGAGCTCCCTAGATTGGAAGGCACTCAGAATACACAGTGGCCACAGTGGACTCGAGCATACCAACAATTGTGAAGATGGCACAGGACCAAATAATGTCCTGTTCCATTGTACATGGGGTCGCCATGAGTCGGAGCTATCTCAATGGCAATTAACAACATGTAGATTATTGCCGACTCCTCTGTAAAGACTTTTAGAACAATGTGAGGTAGAACAAACAAATAAAAAAAAATGGTGATTGTTTCTGTGTTTCTTTTTAGGTTATCTCCCCTCCAAAAGGCTGAAATAGTGGACATGGTCAAGAAGCATGTAAGTGCGATTACCCTCGCCGTGGGCGATGGGGCCAATGACGTGGGGATGATCCAGACTGCCCACGTAGGCGTGGGCATCAGTGGGAACGAGGGCATGCAGGCCACCAACAACTCAGACTACGCCATTGCACAGGTCAGAGCTGGGTGAGCAACTGGGCAGGCAGGCTTTGACGAGACCTCCAGCCCACCCTGAGGTTCTATATGAGCAGCCTGTCAGCATACTTGGGGTTTGCTCTAGTTTTGTCTTACACACTTTAGAGTAGTAAAGATTTCCTTGACCAAATTGCTGCCACCAAGAATCTAGAGCCTTGCTAATAATAATCTCTGAATCCCCAATCTCTCCAAATCTGTATTACGTGCTTTGCTTTGTGGTGTCCCTTGATAAACAATTCTCCAAAACACATAATCTCCCCATTTCTTGTCTTTTCTTTTTTAAAGGGGGCTCTGCCTCTTGTCAGGCATTGAAGAAGAGCTGTGGCCCAGTGATTTATATTTATGTGCACGTTTATGTGTGTGACCATGGCAACTGCCTCGTGCGGCTGCCATGAGCTGATTCTGGGGGCAGCTGCCATCCTTTGGCTTTAATGACCCTGAAGTCAGGAGACAAGCAAGTTGCTTACCAGAACAATGTTTTGTTTTATTCACTTATAAAGTGGTATCTCCTAAACCAAGATATACCGTATTTTTATGCAAATAACACACGCCTTCTATGTTTGTTTGCCAACCGTGCCCTCCTCCCGAGTGGTGTTTTCATAAGCGCTGCTATGCCAAATTATTTTGCTGTAAAAATACAGTATTCCCTAAATATCTTTTGTTTTCTATCTTCCTCAGGCAAAATTACCACCATCTTGTTAAATTAAAGGAGCCCTGGTGGCGCAGTAGTTAAAAACTCAGCTGCTAACCAAAAGGTCAGTGGTTCAAACCCACCAGCCTGCTCCTCGGGAGAAAGATGTGGCAGTCTGCTTCATAAAGATTTATAGCCTTGGAAACCCTATAGGGCAGTTCTACTCTGTCCTATAGGGTCGCTATGAGTCGAAATCAACTCAACAAAAATGGATTTTGTTTTGGTTTCGGTGTTAAAGGAAATTCTCATTGATACTGCTGTTTCTTAATTGATGAATGGAATCAGATAATCTCATGATTTGGGGGATGGAGATTTTGATTAGATTTGTCATTCCAATCATTACTGAAACAAAATCTGTTGTCTCCGACTCATGGTAACTGCTCTCCATAGGGTTTTCAGTGGCTGGCTTTTCAGAAGTTAATTGCCAGGCCTTTCTTTGAGATGTCTCTGGGTGGACTTGTACTGACAAACTTTTGGGTAGCAGCTGAGCACTTAACTGTTGGCACCAACCAGGGACTCATGCCCTCATAGAGGGGAGGCAAAACAGAAAACAGTAATTATGATAAATTAATAAATTATACCTTATGTTAGAAGATGCTAAGTGCTATAAGAGATGAAATTTTATGTATGTATGTATTTATTATAACAAACTGGGAACTGATTCTTTAGTTCTTTCAGCTAGCTACTTCACCTGACTCTACAGAAAGATTACTGAGTGAGCCTGAGTTTCTCGTTTCTGATAGGACATTGTTTTCCCTAAATAATATGACCCTTTCTCATGACTAAGGTTCTAAATGTGTATCAGATTAAAAGAAAAGCCTTGCACATGGCAGTTGAAAAAAGTCAAGCACCATTTAGTGAGCATAAAAGCTATATTTGGTGTTTTTTGGACAATCAGAGAAGATAATTTTATGAGACTTTAAAGAATTCCTTAGGCATGAACTGCCATGTCAGCTGGCTACAGAATTGGTTTTGGTCTGCTCTCTTTCTATGTTGTAATCTATACATAGGGACCTGCTGATGCTTGAAATATTGGGAAAACACTATTTCCTGTCACTAAAGGATAGGTGAGTTTGAACTTGAATTGACTGTTGTTTCTGTCTTTTAGTTTAGTTACTTGGAGAAGCTTCTATTAGTTCATGGATCTTGGAATTATATTCGAGTGACTAAATGCATATTGTACTGTTTCTACAAGAATGTGGTATTGTATGTTATTGAGGTAAGAAAGAAGATAAACTTTCTTTCATTGAGGAAGTAGGTCTTCTCTTTGACATCAGGCCTGGTAATTTAAATTTTTTTCATATTTATCTCTTACATATTCCTGCTTTATGTTTTGTTCACATGAAAGTGGTCAAGTAAAAGATGTTATGGCATCATGGTGACATACTGATATACTCTGTGGTAAAAATAGCCTGTTTGGAACTGGAGTCTATCTTTGCCTGCCCTCGATCCTTCCAGTGATTAAACACCTCAGAAATATCTAGGCCTTTTTAGCTGTTGTTGTTGTTAGGTGCCGTCAAGTAGGCTCCAACTCATGGCCACCTTATGTTTAACAGAACAAAATATTGCCTAGTCCTGCTCCATCTTCATAATCATTGGTATGTTTGAGTCCATTGTTGTAGCTATTATGTCAATCCATCTCACTGAGGGCTTCCCTCATTTTCATTGACTCTCTACCAAACATGATGTCCTTTTCTAGCGATTAGTCTTTCCTGATGATGTGTCCAAAGTAAGCAAGATGAAATTTCACCTTCCTTGCTTCTAAGGAGCATTTCAGTTTTATTTCTTCTAAGACTGATTTGTTTGTTCTTCTGGAGTCCACGGTATTCAATATTTTTAGCCAACACCACAGTTCAAATGCGTCAATTCTTCTGTCTTCTTTTTTCATTGTCCAGCTTTTGCATGCATATGAGGCAATTGGGAAGACCATGGCTTGGGTCAGGCACACTTTAGTCATCAAAGTGACATCGTTGCTTTTTAGAACTTTTAGCTGTATTCCTACTGAAATGAAAAATCTTTATCACAAGGCTATTGTTGTCTCTCTTAACACTTCTACTAAGGGATACTACTTCCACAAGAGGGCCTTATTTGTCAAATGTCCTCTCTTTTCTTTTGTATCTATGGCTATAGTTAGCATTGGTGATTAAAGCGACTGGAAACAGAAAAACAAACATTTAATTAGTACTGTTTCCACACCAAAAATAAATAAATTTGCTGCTGCATACCTGCTACTGTTTCCAGGGAAGGTGGTCTCTGGCTCCTCACACTGCAGTCAGCACTACTAGTTCCCATCTGACCCCTTCCTCTCCGTGAACACGAATTCTAGTGAACAATGGACTCTGTCCTAGACAGCTAGACCTATTTTTTCCCTTAAAATGAACCAAATAAAATTTGTATAACTGCATTTTTCATAGAATCTGTAAGTTTGTCATGCATTTATTGCTTCTAAAAAAAAAAAGTTCTTTCTAGAGTGTCATGTGTAGGTGTCTGGGATATAGAGTGCAGGTAAATAATGAATCTTCTAAGCACTATCCTGACTTCAAAATACCTGCAGAAGCTTTAAATTTGGCTGTGAAAATATATCTTTTAAACTTTTTATTTTTAAATAGTTACAGATTCACAAGAAGTTGCAAAAAAAAAAATGTACAGAGAGGTCCCATGTACCCTTCATCCAGTTGCTCCCTACGGTAACATCTGGCAATAACTAGTACAATATGAAAACCAGAAATTGGCATTGGTACAATCCACAAAGCATATTCAGATTTCACTAGTGTTATATGCACTCGTGTATGTGTGTTCATGATCCGTTTTCACTTATTTTTTGTATAAACTCTAAGGTTTAGATTGTGTTTAATTATTTTGCCCATGAATGTCCAGTTGTTCCAACGTCATTTGTTGAAAGGCTATCCTTCTTTCACTGAATTTCTTTTGCACCTTGTCAAATATCAGTTGAGCATATTCATGTGAATGACTTCTCTAGTCTGATTTATGGACATATACATCCATCCCTCAACCAATACCAAATTGTCTTGATTATTGAAGCTGTATAGTAACTCAGAATCTACTCGATGGCAGCAGGTTTGTTTTTTTTTGGTTTATAGTAAGCCTTAGTAGTGGCTAGATTCCTCCCACTTTATTATGTTTTTTCCCAAAATTGTCTTAACTATTCTATATCCTTTGCCTTTCCATATAAATTTTAGAATAAGTGTATCTATGTCTACAAAAAACTTTGCTGGATTTTGATACAAATTAACATTAAATCTATAGATTGATTTGGGGAGATCTTTGTGTCTTTACTATGTTGATTTTTCCAATCTACAAACACGGTATGACTTTACATTTATTTACATCATCTGTGATTTCTTTCATTAGCATTTTATAGTTTTCAGTATACTGATCCTGTACATGCTGTTTTAAATTTATACCTAAGTATTTCATATGCTTTGGAGTGATCGTAAATAGTATTGTGTTTTTAATTTCAATGTCATTGTGTTTGTTGTTCATACATAAAGATGTGATTGATTTTTGTATATTGATTGTTTTTCTCTTTTTTTTATTGTGGTGAAAACATACACACCAAAACATCTGCCAACACAACAACTTTCACATTTACAACTCAATGACATTGATTATATTTTTCATGTTGTGCCACCATTATTGCCATCCTCATCCAAAGCATTCCACCACCATTCACATAAACTCAATACCATCTGTTATGGATTGAATTTCGTCCCCTAAACATATGTATTGTAAATCCTAATCTCTGCCTGTGCTTATAATTTGGGAATCGATTGTGTTTGCTAGGTTAGTGAGGCAGGATTAAGTTATGACAATGATGATTCCATTATGTTTATTATGTTAATGAGGCAGGATTAGGGTATATATTGAGTCAATCTCTCTTGAGATATAGAAGAGATTAAACAAGGCAAAGAAGAGAAATGCCAAGCCACATGAAGATCTCTCAGGAACAGAAGCTCAAAGAGACAAGGACCTTCCTCTGAGCCAACAGAGAGAGAAAGCTTTCCCCTAGAGCCAGCACCCTGAATTCAGACTTCTAGCTTCCTAAATTTCGAGAAAATAAATTTATTTTTGTTAAAGCCACCCATTTGTGGTATTTCTGTTGTAGCAGCGCTATATAAAACACCTCCTGAACAAAAACTTCCCCCTTTCCCCTCCCTCCCACCCCAGTAACCATTAATAATCTTTGGTTTCTATAAGTGAGATCATCCAGTATTTGTCCTTTTGTGGTTGACTTACTTTACTCAGCATAATATTTTCAAGTTTCATCTATGTTGTGGCATGCATCAGGACTTCATTTCTCTTTATGAATGAGTAATATTCCATTGCATGTATGTGCCATATTTTGTTTATCCAGTCATCTGTTGAGGGACATTTTAGTTGTTTACACCTTTTGGCTATCGCAAAAAGTGCTGCAATGAACATTGATGTACAGGTTTCTGTTTGCATTCCTGCCTTCACTTCTTCTGGGTATATAGCTAGGATTGGGATTGCTGGGTCATAAGGTAGGTCTTTGTGCAACTTTTGAGGAACTGCCAAACTCTTTTCCACAGTGGCTGTACCATTTTACAATCCCACCAGTAATGAATGAGAGTTCCAGTTTCTCCACAACCTAGCCAACACTTGTTGTCCCTCCTTTTTTTTTTTTCATCATTGCTATTCTAATGGGGATGAGGTGATATCTCATTGTAGTTTTGTAAATGTTGATTTTGTATCCTGAAAACTTGCTGAACTGACTTAGTAGTTTTAGGGGTATTTTATAAATTCCGTGGGATATTCTATGTAAACAATCATGTCATCTGCAAATAAGGACAGTTTCATTTTTTTTTTTCTTCCTATCTGTTGTCTTTTATTTCTTTTTCTTTCCTTTTTGTGCTGGCTAGAACTTTCTGTACAATGTTGAATATGAGTCTTTCACCATTAAATATGTTGTTAGCGATAAGTTTTTTTGTAAATACTCTTTATCAAATTGAGGAAATTCCCCTTTGATCCCAGTTTGCTGAGAGCTTTTAATCATGAATTGGTGTTGGATTTTGTCAAATGCTTTTTTGGTGTCAAATGATAAGATCATATGATTTTTGTTGTTGGTGGTGTTTGTTTCTTTAGCTTGTTGTATGGTAAGTTACATTGATTGATTTTCAAATATGGAACCAGGTTTGCATCCCTGGAATAAACCCACTTGGCTGTGATATATAATTCTTTTTATACATTGATAGATTTGATTTGATAATATTTTGTTGAGAACTTTTACAGAATTGTGTGCAATTTTTAGTATAAACATGTTATATTTTAGTATAAGGACTTCTGCCATTACTTATAGAAGTGCATCGATAATTTTTAATATCAGTATTGTGTAGCATTTGAAACTTATAATTTATGAAGGAACAATTAGATGGCTCTCTGTAGCTATTCTCTAGCAGCTGAAGGTTCCCTCTTCTGTGTCTCTTCTTTTTAGCATATGGATATATTTAGGTCGACATTGATATAAAGCTTTCTTCTCTTTCAGCTTTGGTTCGCCTTTGTTAATGGATTTTCTGGGCAGATTCTATTTGATCGTTGGTGCATCAGCTTGTACAATGTGGTAAGCATCTTCCACCTATATCTGATAGCATGCAGAACTTCAGTGACATTCCTTGACTGTTTATGTCTGGGAAGTGTATCTAAGTCAATCATCTCTGTATATAGCAGGCAGCACACATACATCTTCAGGGCCTTTGTTGTTGCAACAAATCAGGCAGGAGTCAAACTCTCCACATGTGTTTTCAATCACAGCAGATCTTTCTAGAGCAACTACGTGAAATTTGTGCCCCATGTAGTTTGACAATATATCCGAAACCACTTCACTGTATGTCTGTGCAATGTTTTCATGCTTTTAAGCTAAGTGAAAATTGCTGAACTCTACCTAAACTCACTCCATTTAATAAATATAATTCTGATGTATCTGTTTGTATATATGTGTGAGCTTACAGTGTGTTTTGGTGTCCTTTTAAACTTCCTGGCAGAAAATAGGTTCTTGTGGAAGTATATTACCCTCTATAGTCTGTGTTTGTACTATATAGTGCATTTTGATCCCAAGTTCTAGCATCAATTCTTGCTTCCACTGTAATGGAATTTAAAATATATATATATACAATTTCATGCTATTATGTGACTCATTTTGAATTAAAAAACTGGGTGTAAATTTTAAAAAGTAAGGCTACGCAGCTTATTAGCCATGTTATCTTTCCATTTGTGTTTTGTTTTACTTTTGTTGTATTATTATTCTACTTTAAGGATTGGAAATTAGGGAAACCCAACATAAAAATTATGTTCTCAGAGACTGTAACACCAGCCCTCTCTTGCACTGTATTATCACAATCACAATATATTTTGTATGTTCTGTGCCCTAACCCCTAGAACTGTTTTATAGAAGCTTAAATTCTGAAACAGAAAGTACAGGTAGAAGTTACTGGACAGAAGTCAGTGAGTGTCCAATAGTATTAAAATGCCTGGTGCTATGACTATGCACAGTGTATATAGAGGACAATGCTAGACTGATTTGGTTAGAGTCCTGCACCAAAGAGGCTGAGGTCATCTACAGAGCTGCCTTTACCAGGCTTTTGGTCACAGATGATGATACCTATCAGTTTTCTTTAAAGTTTCATAATAGACTGGTGCAGAGAGTGGCAGAATCTCTCCTCTGTGTTAGAAAAATCACTATGAATGTATATGCTACAGATATTAATCAATAGAATCTAATTTTTTTATAAAGGGAAACACAGACACTGGCTTTTTTTTTTTTACTAGCAGTAAAGGGGGCCACAGTGGGAGACAATTATGGAACAACATAAGATAAAGTACGATGACTTATTAATATCCATTGACTTACTAAATCTCATTCTGTTACATGTACATTTTACAGATAGAAAATAACTGGCCCATGACATTTCAAGTAGTTACTGGCATTGCCAGAGATAGACTCTTTCTGCTTACTTGAAGGGCAGAGGGGGGAGGGGGTACAGAAATATACAGAAGCTCTGGAAATCTGCAGCAGGCTCCCCTTGAGCCTTTGGCTTAGGACTTATCTGTCTGTGCATGAGAAAAGTCTATCCAAAGCTTAGGAAAGAACCACCAGAAAGCAGTAGGCTGAAAAATTCTTGGAGATCTGAGAAGGCTCCAAGTTTGTATTGCCACTAGCCAGCGTGGAAAGAACTCCTATTACACAGGACATTGGGTAAATTCCTTCTACGAGGACAGAGCAGAACTGCTGTATAGAATTTCCAAAGAGCGCCTGGTAGATTCGAACTGTCAACCTTTTGGTTAGCAACCATAGCACTTAACCACTATGCCACCAGGTTTTCCACATTTTTAATAGTAAGTATAAATTAATCCCATAACAAAACGATCCTGGAGCCTTCCATAACAAAACTTAAAAGCAAGCCTCCAAAGGATTCAACTTATTTTCAAGTTATCTGCATGGCAGAACACAGCCACACCATATTTAATGACAAAGTCCAGCGCCCAACAACACAAAATTCACAGTGTTCAGCATTCAATAAAACCAAGTATGCAGAGAAACAGGAAAATAAGAGCTATAATCAGGTGAAAAAATAAATAAGAACAGACCCAGAAATTATGAAGATGATGAAATGAGTAGATAAGGATCTTAAAATAGCTGTTATAAATGTGATAAACATGGCCAGAGACATAAAGGAAAGCCTAGGTATAATGAAGAGAGAAATGGAAGATGCAGAAAAGAACCAAATGGAGCCTTGTGATATGAAAAATGCAATCTGTGAAATGAAAATTTTTCTAGAAAGGATTAAGACTAGATTAGAAACTTCATAAAAAGATTAGCAAATATAAATACATAGCAATAGAGAAGCGCAGAAAGAGACAGAGGAAAAAAAGAAAAAATGGACAGAGCCTCATTTCGCTCTGGGAAAATATCATGCATTCTACTGTTAATGTACTTAGCATTTCAAAAGAAAGATGTGGCAGAAAAATATATGGTTGAAAATGTCACATTTGATGAAAACTATACACCCACAGTTCTAAGAATCTCAACAAAGCCCAAGAAGAATAAACCTAAAAGAAAACCACCCACATGCTCCTTATAATCAAACTGCTGAAAATAGTGACCAGAAGAATAGTCTTTAAAGCAGCCTGAGAAGAAAGAAACATTACATACAGAAGACAAAGGTTAGAATAAAAGCAGACTTCTAATTGGAAATCATGCAGTCCAGAAGACAGTGGAGTTACATCTTTAAAGTTCTGAAAGAAAAAATCCATTATCCCAGAATTCTATATCCGGCAAAAATATCTTCCTGAATTTAAAGCCAAATAAAAACCTATTCAAACCAAGAAAACTGAGAGAAATCACCAGAAGATCTGCAATATCTGAAATGTTAAATTAAGTTCTTCAAGCAATAGAAAAAAATACCGGTAGTCCCCAACTTACAAAGTATTAGAGTTAAGAAGAACTGCACTTATGACTGTCTGCTTTTTTTTTTTTACACTTATCGTTAGATGTTGCAGTGCATAATTTGCTGATGTTATCATTCTCAGATGTTCACCGGCAGATGTTCAAAGATCAGATTTATACAGATACTGATAATAAAAGGCAATAATAATGAAAACTGAAAAAAAAAAAAGGTATTCGACTTACATCAGAACTGACTTAAGCTGGAATCATCGGAACTGAACTGTGTCGTAAGTCGAGGACTACCTGCGTATCAGGAAGAAATTATATTTACCCAAAGAAATGAAGAGCACAAAATACGTTAATTATATGGACAAATAAAAAAGACCTTTACCCCATTTCAGTCTCTTTAACAGATACTTGACTGTATAAAGCAATAATAATATTATGGGAGTTATAATTTATGTAGAATTAAAATGTATGATGACAAGAGTATAAAGAATGGGAAGGGGAAATTGAAGTACACTGTTATAAAGCTCTTGAATTTTATATGAAGTGATGTAATATTTGAATTTTTTGATACATTTCATGTTGATACTGTGAAGTTTAAAGGTCAACTAGAAACTAAAACAGAAAGGTATAGCTAATAAACCAATGTTGTTGATGTTGTTGGGTGCCATCGAGTCGCTTTCCACTCGTAGCAACCCCATGTACAACAAAATGAAACACTGCCTGGTCCTGCACCATTCTCATAATCATTGTTATGCTTGAGCCCATTGTTGCAGCCACTGTATCAATCCATCTCATTGAAGGTCTTCCTCTTTTTCGCTGACCCTCTGCTCTACCAAGCATGATGTCCTTCTCCAGGGACTGGTCCCTCCCGATAACATGTCCAAAGTATGTGAGATGAAATCTTGCCATCCTCTCTTCTGATGAGCATTCTGGCTGTACTTCTTCCAAAATCAATTTGTTCCTTCTTCTGGTAGTCCATGGTATAGTCAATATTCTTCACCAACTCCATAATTCAAAGATATCAATTCTTCTTCGGTGTTTCTTGTTTGTTGTCCACCTTTCACATGCATATGAGGCGACTGAAAACATTATGGCCTGGATCTGGTGCACCTTAGTTCTCAAGGTGACATCTTTGCTTTTCAACACTTTAAAGAGGTCTTTTGCAGCAGATTTGCCCAATGCTATGTGTCTTTTGATTTTTAACTGCTGCTTCCATGGGTATTGATTGTGGATCCCAGTAAAAGGAAATTCTTTGCAACTTCAGTATTTTCTTTGTGTCTCATGATGTTGCTTATTGGTCCAATTGTGAGCATTTTTTTTGCTTTCTTTAGGTTGAGGGGTAGTCCATAATGAAGGCTGTATTCTTTGACCTTCATCAGCAAGTGCTTCAAGTCCTCTTCGCTTTCAGCAAGCAAGACTGTGTCATCTGCATACTGCAGGTTGTTAATGAGTCTCCCTCCAATCTTGATGCCCCATTCTTCTTCATATAGTCCATCTTCTCAGATTATTTGCTCACCATACAGATAGAATAAGTATGGTGAAAGGATACAACCCTGATGCACACCTTTCCTGACTTAAACCACACAATATCCCCTTATTCTGTTGGAACGACTGCTTCTTGGTCTGCGTACAGGTTCCTCATGAGCACAATTAAGTGTTCTGGAATTCCCATTCTTCACAATGTTATCCATAATTTGTTATGATCCGCAGAGTCAAATGCCTTTGCATAGTCAATAAAACACAAGTAAACATCTTTCTGGTATTCTCTGTTTTCAGCTAAGATCCATCTGACATCAGCAATGATATCCCAATAGTGGAGATAAAAAGGAATTCTAAAAAAAAAATACTCAATTAATCCAAAAGAAGGAAGGAAACAAGGTAAAAGGGAAGAATAGATGCAACAAATAGAAAAAAATAGGAAGATGGTAGATTTAAACCCAACCATATTAATAATTACATTGAATACAAGGGGTGTAAACACTCCAATTAAAGGCAGATATTGTCAGATTGGATTAAATATTCAAGACCCAGTTATATAATATCTACAAGAAACCCACTTTAAATATAATGATACAGATATGTCAAAAGAAAAACATGGAAGAAGATTTCCCATGTAAATACTGATCAAAAGAAAGCTGGAGTGGCTAAATTAATAGCATAAATAGTAGACTTCAGAACAAGAAATATGACTAGGGATAAAGAGGAACAAGTCCGAATTATAAAGGGGTCAATTTATCAGGAACAAATTATAATCCTGAATATATAAGCATTTATTAAGATAGCTTATAAATACATGAAACAAAAACTTATATAATTGAATGGATATTAAGTTGGAGGTTTCAACACTCCTCTCCACAGTTGATAAAAACTGAAGATAAAAAATCAGAATAGATATACAAGATTTAGACAAAATTATGAACCAACTTGACCTAATTCACACTTATAGAAAAATCCGCCCCAAAACAGCAGAATATACATTCTTTTCAAGTGCGTAGACCACATGCTGGGCCATAAAACAAGTCTCAATAAATTCAAAATGAGTAAAAATCATACATAACATGTTCTCTGACCACATGAATTTAAATTAGAAATCAATAACAGTAATTGACTACATCTATGGAAAGAGACGATGGAGAAACTCAATATCAGCAGTCAGAGGCTGAATGCAGAACAGAGTACCAACTGCTCATATGCAAGTTCAAGATGAAGCTGAAGAAAATTAAAACAAGTCCACGAGAGCCAAAATATAACCTTGAGTATATCCCACCTGAATTTAGAAACCATCTTAAGAATAGATTTGACGCATTGAGACGTCAGGGACATTATACATGAAGAAAGCAAAAGGTTATTTAAAAGACAGGAAGGAAGTGAAAAGATCAAAATAGATGTCAGAAGAGACTCTGAAAGTTGCTCTGGAACGCAGAGTAGCTAAAGCCAAAGGAAGGAATGATAAAAGAGCTGAACAGAAGATTTCAAAGGGTGGCTCGAGAAAACAAAGTGAAGTATTATAACGAAATGTGCAAAGATCTGGAAATAGAAAACCAAAAGGGAAGAACGTGCTTGGCATTTCTCAAGCTGAAAGAACTGAAGAAAAAATTCAAGCCTCAAGTTGCAATACTGAAGAGTTCTACAGGGAAAATATTAAAGGACACAGGAAGCATCAAAAGAAGATAGAAGGAATACACAGAGTCACTGTACTAAAAAGAATTGGTTGATGTTCAACCATTTCAGGAGGTACCATGTGATCAAGAACTGATGGTATTGAGGGAAGAAGTCCAAGCTGCACTGAAGGCATTGGTGAAAAACAAGGCTCCAGGAATTGACAGAATACCAACTGAGGTGTTTCAACAAACGAATGCAGCACTGGAAATGCTTACTCATCTATGCCAAGAAATTTGTAAGACAGCTACCTGCACAACCAACTGGAAGAGATCTACATTTGTGCTCATTCCAAAGAAAGGTGATCCAACCGAATGTGGAAATTATCAAACAATGTCATTAATATCACATAAAAGTAAAATTTTGCTGAAGATCATGCAAAAGTGGTTGCAACAGTACATTGACAGGCAGGGAACTGCCAGAAATTCAAGCTGGATTCAGAAGAGGATGTGGAACAAGGGGTATCATTGCTGATGTCAGATGGATCTTGGCTGAAAGCAGAGAATACTAGAAAGATATTTACCTGTGTTTTATTGACTATGCAAAGGCATTTTACTGTGTGGATCGTAACAAATTATGGATAACATTGTGAAGAACAGGAATTCCAGAACACTTAATCGTGCTCATGAAGAACCTGTACATAGACCCAAGAGGCAGTCGTTCCAACAGAATAAGGGGATACTGTATGGTTTAAAGTCAAGAAAGATGTGCATCACAGTTGTATCCTTTCACCATACTTATTCAATCTGTATGCTGAGCAAAAAATACCAGAAGACAGACTATATGAAAAAGAAGACGGCATCAGGATCGGAGGAAAACTCATTAACAACTTGCGGTATGCTGATGACACAACCTTGCTTGCTGAAATCAAAAAGGACTTGCAGTACTTGCTGATGATCAAAGAATACAGCCTTCATTATGGATTACCCCTCAACCTAAAGAAAGTAAAAATCTTCACAACTGGACCAATAAGCAACATCATGACAAATGGAGAAAATGTTAAAGTTGTCAAGGATTTCATTTTACTTGTATCCACAATCACTGCCCATGAAAGCAGTAGTCAAGAACTCAAAAGACTACAGCCAGTCCCTGGAGAAGGACATCATGTTTGGTACAGGGTCAAAGAAAAAGAAGACCCTCAATGAGATGGATTGACACAGTGGCAGCAACAATGGGCTTCAACATAGCAATGATTATGGGGATGATGCAGGGCCAGGCAGTGTTTTGTTCTGTTGTATATGGGATCACTATGAGTCAGAACCAACTTAATAGCACCTAACAACAACAGTAATTGTGATAGTTAAGATTATGTGTCAGCTTGGCTTGGCTATGATTCTCAGTGATTTGGCAGATATTGTGTAATCATCTTCCATTTTGAGATCTGATGTGAGCAGACAATCAGTTAAAAGGGGGAGTTTCTTTGGGGGTGTGACCCGCATCCAATATATATGGATATTCTGGCAAAGCTCACTCTCTTTCGATCCTGCATCCAACTCATCATCTTCTGACCTCTGGTTCCTGGGACATGAACTAGCAGCCTGCCGCCTGACATGTACATCTTAAGTTTTACCAGCTCCTGCAGCCCTGTGAGCCAGCAGCCTGCCATCTGACCTGCCAATTTTGGGTTCATCAGCTCCTGCTACCACGTGAGTCAGGAGAATCTCCAGCCTGATGCCTGATCCATGGATTTGGGACTTGCCAGCCTCCACAACTGCATGAGCCATTGCTGTGTCTGAAGGATCCTTGTCTGAGATAGTGCCTGGGGCGGGTCCTAGGGCATTTCCCGGGGCATCGCCTGAGACAGCTGCCTTTCAAGACGTTACTGAATTCCTTAGCACCCATCCCCACCACCCATTTTTGCTTCTAGTCTTATAACTAGCCTTAAGTCCCAGAGAGCCCCAAGAAGTGAAGTACAAAGTGTGACCCAGGAGGAGGTATGCTACACTCCAAAACAACTGCTTGATTTTTCTAATATATACAAACAGAAAATTGAGTAATATGTATGGTAATGGCTATTAAGGGTGTGGGATAATGGTGCAAGGAACATAAAATTCAATCAGTCTGAGTTTATTGATATGGGCCCACTAAACACAGATTCTTCATTCAAGGTTTCAGCATGAGAAGTTAGAAAAGGATTTAATAGTTTCATTAAGTTGGTTCACTGAAGCATGGATGATACAGTAGCCTACTCTAAATCAAGTTGAAGTACCAGACCACCTTGCTATACTGTAGAAGAAGGTATCCAAAGACTTAGGGAAATTGGCATTTAGAGTGGATTTATCAGGTTGGACCCACAGACCCACCCATCGGGTGTCCAGAGGACATACCTTTTACCACAACAAAGAAACAAATTTGTGAAGGGAGCCCCAGCATCCTTGAAGACTGATGTGATTGCTATTTTATGTAACCCAGATTTGAAGTAGGAACTGCCCTAACTGATTTAAGACACCTAACTACAATTAGACCAATTGGACCCTGGGGTGGTAGGGACCAAGTTGTGGCACTTAATTGACAAAGACCAGGTAGGCTTGGTTACCGTAATTTGACAACAGAGTCAAAGCAGTAATCAGAATAGCCTGACTTGTATGGATATATGTCATTGGGTACTTAGTCACGGTGTCCCTAAGAGTGAAATAGATGGGAATCTAGTAAATATGTACTTGATCTGTACCAGTGGAAGAATTCTAGGCCCAGTGAACACCAGAATAGAGAGTCATGGTCCCTCAGTCAATTCCCGGACTTGAGCCAGTTTACAGACCCACAACCCCTTGAATGAAGTAGAGACCAGATCCCCTTGAGGAAAGACCCTGCTCACTTCCAAAAATTTATACTGTTAATCTTTCTCTCAGCTTTCCCCAAAGGGAGCTGATTGGTCGCTAACCCAAAGGTTGGATGTTAGAACCCACACAGTGACTTCATGGAAGAAAGGCCTGGCAAATTGTTTCTGTAAAGATTAAGGCCAAGAAAACCCTATGGAGCAGTTCTACTCTGTAACACATGGGGTTGCCATGAGTTGAGGGATGACTCATGGCAGCTAACAACAACAATACTATGTGCCTTTTACCGGCAAGTTTATAGGAGGGAGATAGATGTCCATGTTGTCAATAAATTGCCAATAAATTTTTGGCCAATATTATGCCTTTTCTGTAACTATCTAGATGCTCAATTTACTCATTTTGTGCTCATTAAACACAACAAAATAAAATGTTATAATTCATTGAATCCAAGATTGGATCTAGCAGAAAAACTAAGCCATGATTTGGTAGATTCATTTGAATCTATCTGACTCAATAGTTTAAGACTCCACCAGAAGTTGCAAAAATAGTTGATAAGACAGTTCTGTGTACCCTTCACCCTACTTCCCCCAATAGTCATAGTACATTGTCAAACCAGGAAATTCACGTTAGTAACTCAGGGAACAGATTAAAAGCTCATTTTAATAGGTTGTTGTTTTCTATATAGATTTTCACTTCACTGCCACCTTTTACTCTGGGAATTTTTGAACAGTGTTGCAGTCAGAAGAGCTTGCTCGAGTATCCACAACTCTACTCAATTTCTCAAGATGAGAAAATTTTTAATACGAAGGTAAACAGAAGTTTGTTTCAGGTCTTTCATCTCAAAGTGACTCCTTTCCTTCTGATGCTTTAGGAAAAATAATTTTAAATATACAAGGACTAAAGCCCTGTGCCTTCTTTCTTCCAGTTTATCTTATCCAAGGAATTGAGTTTCATTAATTTACCAATTGTCTATGGCTGATTTATTACAATAGCAGAGTTAAGCAGATGTAACAGAGATCATATGGCCCCCTAAAACTAAAACACTTACTATCTGGCCTTTTACAGAAAATGTTTGCTGAACCCTGGTTTACAGTATTCATCAAATTTAGGTTATTTTCAGCCATTATTTGTTCAAATATTTTTTCTGACCTGTGTTCTCCTCTTCTTTTGTACCTCCAGTTATACATATATTAAGTTGAGTGAAGTTGTCCAAAACCTCATTGAAGCTGAGTTTCTGTTAGTGATTTTTAAATTCTCCTTCCTGTCTATTTCATTTTGGGTAATTTTAATTGCTTTGTGTTCAAGTTTATTTCTGAAATATTTAATCAGGTGGATTTTTTTTTCTTCTGCAATATCTAATCTGCCACAAATCCCATTCAGTATATTTTTTATCTCACATATTGTAGTTTTTATCTCTAGCATTTCTATTTGGATAGTTTTTATATCTTCTTTGCTATGAGTTGGAATTGATTCGACAGCAACGGGTTTGGTGGTTTTGTTTTTTTTTTTGTGTGTGTGTGCCTCTCTTAACTTTCTGAACATACGGAATGCAGTTATAATAACTGTTTCAACAGTTATCCTTGCCTGCTAATTCTAACATCTGTGTCAGTTTGTGGTTGGATTTAATTGATTTATTTACCACCTCATTTTGAATTGTATTTTCCTGCTTCTTTGCATGCCTGATAATTCTTGATTGGATGCCTGACATTGTGAATTTTACATTGTTAAGTGCTGGAAATATTTGTATTCCTACAAATATTCTTTAGTTTTGTTCTAGGACACAAGCAAGTTAATTGGAAACAGTTTGATCCTTTTGGGTCTGGCTTTTAACCTTTGTTAGGCAGCAAAGGAGCGTTAAGTCTAGGGGTAATTATTCTCCATTATTGAGGTGAGAACTTTCTATGTACTCTACCCAGTGTCCCATGAATCTTTTTGTGGCATCAACTTTGCTTTTGAACCAGTTTCTTACGTTTTTTCCTGATTACTGCTTTACTCAAGGAAAATTCTGGGTCAGAGGCCAGATATGTTTTTTACACATCTTTTCTTCTCTAGTCCTTCATCTATAAGTCTTCCTGGGAAGCGTGAAAATAACTGGTGTATTTAGAATTGAAAGAACAAAGAATTTTGTTTTTATTGAACATTGTGCATGGTCTGTTCATAAAAAGCACAAGAATTTTTAAAAAAATATTTTGACCAGTGTCAGAAAGTAGATGTAAAGGATCAGAGAGTATCACATAAAATGTGGTAAGAAATTATACTTAAATTACTATAATTTAAATATGTAAAATATT